TTGAACTTCATGATGTGAAATTTTATCTACACTTATATGTTCTTTACATTGCATTTGCATTGGTGCTCTTAAGTCATTGTGTTTTCCATCTGCTATTCTTGGATGGCCTGCCGAAGGCCTGCCTAAAAGGCTTGCCGAAAGGTTAGCCAGTTGTGGGCTCTGCCATGTTGGAAACACAACCCTTGGATCTGGATTATCGTTGTACCGCTTGATCATCCTTTCACTTCTCAGTGATTAGCGTGAGAGATATATTAGGTAATCTTGCCGAGGTACCCCTTTTGACCATTCGGCCTAGCTACATATAGTAAAGCCATAGTGACTGGTCCACCGGGTGTCGATTTACTCGGGTCAAAGTGGTAACACGTTCTATGCCGCGTTGTGATTCACATGGTATATTTGGTTGCTCAAAACCATTACCGAGTGAATGGGAAATAGAAGCCAAAGTGTGCTCCATGGAAATGGAGTTTTGGTGGAAATTCCTTAAGGTTGTAAATTGGCTTTTCCCACATTGATTTGGTGGGAAGGTTTGAAAGGGTTTATAAGGCTTAGGGTGAGATACTTGGGGTGTGCCCCAAGGGGTACCCAAGTGTTTTAGAGGTAGAGGTTATGGGCTAGACCCATTGGACCCAAAAATCACCACACACGCGCGGGTGTGTGGTTGGGTTGGGCTTCTAATCTTTTTGGGCCAAAAACATTTGAATTTAATTTTAAATTTTGGTAAAATAAAATCCAGAATTCAAATTAAACTGATTTGGATTTTCTATACATCCAAACAGGGCCCTTCCCGTTTTCAAACAGAAATAAACTAGTTTGGAATTAGTGCACACCCAAATAGGGCCCTTCCCGTTTTTTGCTATTTGTTTGAATTATTTAACAGATTCAAATCTGTTTGAATTCAAAACCAACAGGTATCATACCTGTTCAATTTAAAACCAAGAGCCACATTTACATCTATAAATAGGACTACCCTCATTTGATGTTATTCATTCAGAAATTTCGTATTTCACTTTTGCTTATTCTATTCTTCATTTTGTTGCATTTTATTTCTGAAAAAAAAGAGTGTAAACACTTAGTGTGTTCGTAAGGCAAACAATTTGTAGTGCTGTTATTGTTTGTGGTAGATCATTTCATCTTGGGAGATAGACGTCCAAATTTTGAAAGCACTGTGGAGAGGACGAATCTGTCTTAAGGACATAGTGGCAAACACTGGACTTGATCAGAAAATAATTCGAAGAAATTAAATCAAGTAAGTTATTTAATTTATTTTCAGTGTTTTTTTATTTATTAAATTAGATTTAAATTTTGTTTTTGTAACAAAATAAAATCTATTATTTATTTATTTATTTATTATTTCGAGTTTGATTTTTGTAATCAAACAAATTCTCTTCTTTTCTTTATTTATTTAAATTCTAATTGTTGTTGTGTACACAATAAAATTAAATCTTTTAAATACAGTGAAGATTGTCCAACAATATTGATCTGATAAATGTATTTACATTATTTTATTATTTTTATTTTAAAAAAATAGATGGCAGATATAAATATAAAACTAGACCATTCATTTTTTTGAACATTAAAAAATAAAGTCGTGTGATTTCAGTTATTGGATTAACATGATTTTTTTTTCATGGGCAAAATTCATTTTATCATTTTGTAATTTGAGCACAAAGCACTTTGCTCTTCTATGGTTCAAATATAGCTAGAAAGTTTGCATGTAGTTTTGGACTAAAGTGCAACCGTTAATACCATTAATTGTAGATGTGAAATGACTTTAATACCCTCAAACCCTATACTTTTTTTTTATTATTTTCTTTCTCTCCTCTTCATACACATAATTTATATTGTTTAACATTAATTCAATTAAATCAAAATTAATTATTAATTCTTAATTATTTATTGTAATTCTTTATCTTTTTATTCTAAATTTAATTTAATTATATTTTAGATCACAATTAATTCGAAATATTTAATTATTTATTGTAATTCTTAACTTTTTAATCTAATTTTAATTTAATTATATTTTAGTTCACAATTAATTTTAAATTCTTAATTATTTATTGTAATCTATAAAATACTAATCTAATTTAATTTAATTTAATTATATTGTAGATCAATTCTTAATTACTATTTAATTTTAATTTTTATTTAACTATATTTTAAATCCATATTATGTTTATGTTTTGAATCCTTAATTGTATTTTATTCTAATTAGCATATTAATTTAATTTTAGTTTTGGAGAACGGAGAGTAAAATTATCTTTTTTGTTGTATTAATTTCAATTTGTTTTTTTTTTTCAAAAAACAAAACTCATCCTAAAAAATGTTGTGTACTACATCTTCCATTTGTTTGAATGAAAAAACTAACAGTGGCATTTTAGTGCAAAATCATATAGGGACTTTCAGGCTAAATTTGAATCATAGGGGATAAAATGCTCCAGCCCCAAACTACGAGCGGGTAAAATGAATTTAATCCATGTTCATTGATGATATATATATTTTTTGAACAAATTTTTCATTGAGGATTTTTTTGAGTGAATAATTTTTCATTGATGATATACACACTGAAATCTAAAACATAAACCAAAATCTGTGTCGATCCCATTGTGCCAAACTGGAATGTCAAGACAACCCAATCCCATTTATAAGCACATATCTCACAAACTTTAAATCTATCTATAGTATTAGGGGTGAGTATGATTTGGTTCGATTTTGAAGTAAACCAAGCCCAAACCCAATCATAAAACCGTGATTCAATTTAGTTCGGAACTACAGTTTTCATGAAGTTTGTCATAATTTACAACATAATCACTACTTGCTCAAAAATCAAGTAAATCTACAAACAAAATAGTTTAAATGATTATTTAGAACTAGTTCTACTATTATTCAAGAGCACACTTGTAAACAACATGGTTAACAACTCATGAATATATGAAATACTAATAAGATAATTGAGTGTCCACCTTAAATAACAAATTATATATATGTATATATTTAAACGGTCCGGTTTGGTTGTAAACTGGAATCATAACTATAAAATCATAGACCGAACCGTGAAATATGGTTCACCTATTTTAAGAGTCAAGATCGAACCATAGATTGAAAAAAATCAAATCAAGCTGTGTTTTTAGATATGGATTAAATCGATTTGCAGTTTTTCTGGTTTTTATGTTCAACCCTATATAAGTATAGAATACATCTTATTTTCAAAATAATTTTAAAAAAGATGATAGATATTATTTTCTTTAGAAAAATTGTATTTCAATAGAGTAGTGGTAAAAAAATTAACATTTTTATGATTGTGCAACTCTCATGTGTAGATGCTATAAATTTATTAATCATGTGCTTGGTGCAACTCTTCACGTGTCAGAATTGCACAAAAAAATACTTTTGTGCAATTATTTTATGATTGTCCCATTTATTTGCAATATCCTATTTTCTTTCTACAAGATTCCTTAAGGTTATGTTTGGAAATGAAAAAGAAAAAGAAAAATATAAATAAAATATGAAATAAATACAACTATATTTCACACATTTTTCACATATCTTTTTCTTTTTTCTTTTTAAATCTCAGTCCAAATCACAACATAAAAGCTTTCCATAAAAGCATGTAAATCTGATTGCTTCACCATAAAGCTTTCCATAAAAACAAGCAAATCTGATTGCTTCTTTTACGAATGTATTTTAACACAATTGAAAGAGACATAGATGGATATGTTGAGTCTTCTACTTTGTGTTCTGATCATCTGCACTTTGGTTCAGGCCCTAATATCACTTGCAAAATCAAGCAAAAACAGTCCCGGCAAGCTTCCGCCGGGACCGACACCTCTGCCACTCATCGGAAACTTACTCAAACTAAGTGACAAGCCTCACAAGTCCCTAGCCGAGCTTGCCAAAATCTATGGTCCTATCATGACCATAAAACTAGGCCAAGTAAACACAGTTGTCATTTCTTCACCAACCATGGCTAAAGACCTCTGCTTCTCCAACCGATCCATCCCGGACAACGTCCAAGCCCAAAACCACAACCAGTTCTCTGCCACTTGGATGCCTATTGCAACTCAATGGCGAAAACTCCGCAAAATCTACAATTCCCACGTTTTCGCCGCTCAACAACTCGACACAAACCAACACCTACGGCATCAAGTGATGCAAGGACTGATCGCCGAGGTTCGCGAAAGCTGCGAGCTAGGTGTGGCAGTGGATATTTGCAAAGCAGCATTTAGAACAACGTTTAATTTGCTGTCGAACACAATTTTTTCCATGGAATTGTCGGATGATTGGAACAGGGACATTGCACGGGAGCGGAAGGAGGCAGTGTGGAGTTCCATGGAGCACTTTGGCACGCCCAACTGGTCAGATTACTTCCCTGTGTTGAAGAAGATTGATCCACAAGGTATTAGGCGCCAAACTACTTCTGACTTTGGAAGGCTTATTGCAGTCTTTGATCGTTTGATTGATCAACGATTGGAGTTGAAAAAAACACAGGGTTGTCTCTCAAGCAATGATGTGTTCGGTGCTCTTCTCAATATCAGTGGAGTTGATCAGAGTGACTCAATCGATCGAACTCATATCCAGCATTTGTTGCTGGTTAGTACTCTTTCCAATTGTTGTCCCTTTGGCCAGGATTTGTTGGGTGAATTATAGGATTAAACGCTAACACTATATGAGTCCGGGACTCGTATAATGTTAGTGTTTAGTTATAATTTTTGTTATCTCGATTAGATTTTAATGGATACTGATTCTAACAAAATTAGCATATTTTTTAATGATACAACTAATAATACAAAACAAATCTATAATTGAAATTATATATTTTTATATTTATTACAAAATAAATGTTAAAAATAGGAAATTATTTATTCCACGAATCAAGTTGGATAATCAAGGAGAATTTTTTTTTAACGTCCCTAATATTAAGATTTTATAAGATAAAAGACATGCAATATTTTCATAATAGTTAAAAAAAAAAATTAGTAGTCAAAAGTAAAGCTTTTTGGCGACTAAAAAAATTTAGTAGCCAAAAGTCTACAACTGGCGACTAAAAATTAGTTTGGTCGCTAAGTATATGGGTTTTACCGACTAAAAAAATTTTAGTAGCCAAGAGTTCACAATTGGCGACTAAAAAATAAGTTTAGTCACCAAAAGTGGTCATTTTTAGCGCGGGAGAATTAAAATCCAAAGGCGGGAATTAAATTTTTTGGCGACCAAAATTTTCGTAACTGAAAATGCATCTTCGTCGACCAAATGCAACTTTGGTCGACAAAAGTTAAGTTTTTTAGTGACTAAAAAACAATTAGTAGCCAAAAGTATAGAATTGGCGAATAAAAAATATTTTTAGTCGCCAAAAGTGGTCTTTTTTTATTTTGCTAGTAAATAGTTTATTTTACATAAATTATATTTAATAAAATAATTATGTTTATACATATACGTTTATATTAATATGGATGTATGTACTATATAAATAATATATGTTGCATATATAATCATGTGATGCTATAGAGGTGTAGTGGGAAGAGTGTGGTGCATAAGGTTTATGGTGCGGGAGGTTGGCGGTTTGAGTTTTCGCAAGAGCAGATCAAATTGTTCTAAAACGAATCAATATTTTTTTTTTTTCATGTTTGAAGCTTTTGGCAACTAAAGGTGTTGGTCGGCGTTTCCTTCACTATAGGCAACTAAAACATTGGTCGGTGAATGTATGATTTTAAAGAAATATAATTGACTATTGACGACCAAAATTTTGGTCACTAAAGACTTGCTTTTTGCCGACCAAAGGTTTTTTGGTTGGCAAAACCCTCCAAGACCTTTCCCAACAGGGGTTTGGCGACAAATGTAGCGACCAAAATTTTTGGTCGCAGAATGTCATTGGCGAACAAAAAACAGGCAATTGGCTACCAATATTTTAGTAGCTAAAAGTGACTTTTTTTTTAGTGTGGTCAAAGGTTATTTCCGGCAAAAAGATGGTGGTCAAACGTGGATTATCGCACATGAGAGTTAGTTGTTAGCAACCAAAGGCGGTTGTTAATCTTTAGAGTTGGTGGTTGGCAGCCAAAAGTGATTATTAATAGTGAGAGATGGTGGCCGGAAGAGGTCGTCGGCGATATTGGTTAGAAACGGTAGTCAATAGTGTTGAAGATCGGTGGGTGGTGGGTAAAGGAGGAAACAATGAAAACTTTGTTTTTAAACAAATGAAACTAACTTTTTCATAGTTATAAGAATTTATTAAATTTTGTAAATTATTTACAAAATTTTTAAATAAAAATAGACACCATACGAGTTTTTATTTACAAATTTTAAATATTTTATAAATATAAATAAAAAAATTATATACATAATGTTTCCAAACATGCCTATTTTTTATTTTCATTTTTTTTAAAACTAGAAATGAAAATTTGTCACGTATATTATTTTTGTTTTGAAAAAAAGTGAAATTAATTTAAATTTTTTGAAAAGAAATGTTTTTACTCCTTTTCAAAATAATTTCTCACTCTCTCCTCCCCATCCACCACCACCCACTGCCAATCGTCAGCCAATCAGCTAACCAACCAACCATCAGTGAACTATGACTCCACCCACCACCAATCGTCGACCAATCAACCAACCAACCAACAATAAGTGAAATCTGACCAGTCACAAGCAACCATCAATGAGCTTCGGTAACTAGCTTAGTCACCACCCAAGCTATATGAGATTGGATTCGTTTCATATAGTGTTATATATATATATATATATTTTTGTTATTTAATTATGTAAATTCGTAATCCTAAATCGATCCAATCCGTGTTTAAATGAATTTGTTCGGATTGGTTCCACGATTTAAACAGATTGGATTGGTTCCAATTTTTCAGGATCCGTAGATAACGGATTAGTCCTGGTTTTACTCCAATCCGGACCATACTCACCCCTACATCTATTGGACAATAAGTACATCTAGTAGGATTTAAACGTAAGTTCCCATTAAAATAGGTATAATATGAAGTGAATGAGCAAAATAATTTTCATGAGAGGCCTTGCAAGTTAATGTAAAACTACCTTACATTTTTCTAGTTAACTCTTTTATCCCTCTCTCTAACTGTTTAAGTTTAAATGAATTATACCTAACTTTGGACAAATCAAAATTTTGACCGTTTGAAATTTGCTTTCCAAAGCTGAATACATGAGTGAACCCTTTTGAGGTTTGGTGATTAAAATGCCCCCCAAAAATTCCCTACTGTATAGAATAATGTTAGGAATCATGAAAAAAATATCATAAAAATAGTTATGAAAGATTTTTCACCTTTAGATTACACATACAATAAAACAACACACATTAATCAAATGATGAAAAATTTTCATGATGCATTTCATGATATTTTTTTCATGATCCCTAGTATTATTCATACTGTTATGGTTGTTTAGGAAGAATTTTTTTAGTTTAATTTTTTAGTTTTTTTTACTAATTTAGCCTACCTAAATTAGTTTTGTTTGGGAAGAACTTTTTCATTTTTAAAATTTTTTTAATTTTTTGTGAGAAAAAAGGTAAAATGATTACGATTTGGATATAACATTTTGTCCTATTGACTTATTTAGTCTATTTTATCTTTTTGTACTTAGTCCCAACCAACTTCTGAAATGGGGACTAAATATGTCAAATGGTTATCCTGTTGTTGATCACATTAATTAAAAAGAGGTTGACTTCTCTACAGTTGACACGTGTTTCATTTTAACGATTTGAGTTATTCATTTTATTATATTATGTGTGTAGATCATGTATGAAAAAATTAAATTGATCCGATTTGAGTTATTCATTTTATCCACATGTTTTGATGATTTTTGTCTGCAAAAAATAAATAAAAATAATAATTTTAAATAAACACCATCTACTTTTTTACCGATAAATTTGATAAAATTATTATATGATTCTTTTTCATAAATAATCTACCCTCACAGTTGAACAAAATAAATTATGGGGAACTTACTTATAAGTCTCATACACAAAGTTCAAAATTCATTTAGTCCCCAAAACAAAATATTTGCACCAATTAGTCCTATATATTTTTAATTGTTACCAAAAAATCCTTTTTTTTTTTTTTTTTTTGAAGACGCTGCTACATCCCATCACCGCCAGATTTTTGTCAAACGGTCATCGGAGACTCACCGAAATGTTCAACATCACCGGAAAGTCGCCGAATATCACTGGAAATTTGCCAGAGTATTGTCGGAATGTTTTGAACGTCACTGGAAGTCATTGGAATGTCTAGAATGTTTGTTGGATGTCAACAATAATGCCGGAGACTCACTAGAATGTCTAAAATATAGCTAAAAAAAAGAAGAAGAATAAACTGAGAAATTAAAATGAAAAAGCATAGAAAAATGTGCTAAATATTGATAAACTGAAAGAAAAAAAAAATCCTAAGAACAACAAATAACAACAATAAAAATAAAAAAAATAAAAAGCATATGTTATTTTCAATTTTTGTAGGGTTTAAGCAAATAGTTTTCAATATTGATCAAACTGAAAAGTATGTTTTGAAACTGTAAAATGTTACAATTTCAAAGTATAATTCTATTAAGTATTTATTCTTATTAATCAAACTGAAAAACATGTTATGAAATTGTAAAATTTTACAGTCTTAAAGAAAGTTATGAAACTGTAAAATTTTACAATTTTAAACAATGATTCATTTCAACACCGAAAAAAAAAACTGAAATTGTAAAATTTTACAGTTTTCACCTCTTATAACTAAAACTCGAAAACAGTTTGTTCAGGATTTGAAAATTTTCTCCATTATAACAAGAAAATAGAAATGTGTAATACAGACAAAATATTAAAACTGAGAGATCGAAGAAAAGAGACAAATATAGAGAAATACTTGTACTCCTACAACTATTTTTTAGTTTAGATCTAACTGAATCTAGATCTACTCAGATTTGATGTAGATTTGAGTAGATCTACATCAAATTTGAGTAGATCTCCTCATCTTCTTCCTCGAAACTCATCTCTTTCACCGTCGGCGAGCACGAAGTAAGGAGTTGGTGCTGGGTGGTTGCTCGTGAACCCCAATCAATGGTGGTCGCCGGTCACCGATAACGATAGATTAGAAAGAAAATGAAACAAATGAAAGCGTAGGCATGGCCATGGTCATGGTCATCGTCGCCGCCACTGATATCAGAGAAAGAGAGATAAAGAGAAGAAGTAAGGTGTAGAGAAGAGAGAAGAAGATAAATGGATATAGGACTTTCTAAAAAGTTTTGGAATTAAATAGAATACACACTTTCCAAAAAGAATTTGTGGGTAATTTGCCCATAAATTATTAAAATTGTCAAAATGGGCCTCATAAGATCCAACATAGAAGCTCATTGCAATTATAAACTTATTGGGAGAATTGCAATTTAGCCCAAATGACTAAAAATATAGTAAAGCTAGAGACTCACAATATGAATTCTTAAATTTATTCACAATGATATGACAAGAGAGGTAGGCCCTACACAATTGAATATATAACAAATAAAAAATTGACACATATTATGGATCAAATTGTTAAATATTTTGTTTGAGTCTAATACATTTTTTCTTGAAAATAATTACACAAACATAGAAGATGCAACTCTACTTGTGCAAAAAATTCACAAAGAGAGTTGGACCCCACATCTCAGTAATTACTTTTAATCTTCTAAATTGATTTAT